TACCTTTTTTGCCAAAAATTGGATTAGCTAACAATAGCTCTTGGCTCCAGCCTTATCCATTCGTTCTGAAATATACTAGCCAGAAATGCGATTGCTTTACAAAAAAGAAAACCATTTTGACATATGAGAGTTTTTACGCTCTGGAATATAATTTATGCAACCTCACATACGCGGTTTTGCATTATCTTGATACGCGGTTTTGTACTTTAAACGACGATATGTGGATACACTTGCCTATGGCCATAATATATAGACGTTTCAATGAAGTTTTTTTTTGGTTTTGTTGCGATATTTTTTATTATATATTATTTTTTATCAAATTTTATTTTTATATGTTCTTTGCAGGCATAGTATTATAATATTATTATTTATATTACTACTTTAATTGCTATTATTATCATTATTAATAGAATTATTATTAGATCGTACCTTTACACCATTATTTATTACGGTATGCATAAAAGAACGCTTTCTAACCTTATAAGTAAGGAAAAAGCTTATTATAAAGCAACAGTTGCGAAGTTTCGTAAACTGAATGAACCGACTTCTGGGTTAGAAAGCGATGATATTCCGTCCACGAGTAGAGAAGCATTTTGCCGCGGAATAAATAGTGATCTAACGTCCAGCACTATGGAAGTGTTTCCTGAATTAGATACCGATGAATATAATAGCGATGATGACAGGTTTTTGTTTGAAGATGTCGAAAGTGATAATAGCACTGAAGAATCTGCAAACAAAAACCTAAGCGAGGAAATTTGTAGGGGGTTAAAAACGTGGGCAATCAAAAATAATATTTTGCAAAATAGCCTAACGGACCTCCTACAAACCTTACATAATGCTGGACTTAACGGGTTACCTTTAACTGCAAGAACCATTTTGGGTACAAGTAGAAAAATAGTTCAAATTCGACCTTTTCCTGAAGGTGAATTTTTTGTATTTAGGAATACAATATAATTTTAATTTCAAAGATTTTGATTTTTGTATAGATGGTTTGAAATTATTTAAAAGCTCTAATAGGGCATTGTGGGCCATTTTGGGGCATGTAGAAGCTTTTCCTAATTCGGTCACATTTACTATTGCCTGCTTCTCAGGAATGAGTAAGCTATCCCATGTTAATAATTTCCTTGCTGAGTTTTGCGAAGAGATAAAAATTCTAAGTCAGAATGGTGTAAGGGTTGGATCTAAGCAGGTTTTAAAAGAATTTAGTGTAAGACTTTTTACATGTGACACGCCAGCCCGCGCCTTTATAACTGGCGTGAAGTCACACACTGGGAAAAACAGCTGCCCTAAATGTCTTCAACAAGGACAGTATTTACAAAGAAGGGTCTGTTTTTCTCAAGACGTAGGAGAATTAAGAACAGATAGTTCGTTTAAAAATAGAGTAGATATAACCTATCATTTAGACGAATTTAGACAGTGTGAAATCTTGCTAGAATCTGTAAATATTGGCATGGTTTCTCAATTTCCGTTAGAACCCATGCATTTAGTTGATTTAGGAGTAACTAAAAAACTACTCCAGTTGCTTATTAAAAGAGGGAACGTAACAAAGATGAATGAAAAAATATTATTTCTGAATAAGTTGGTTCCCTCTGTATTTTCCAGACTCAGTCGAGATCTGCGTGAAATAAGCAACTGGAAGTCGACAGAATACCGGCAATTTTTATTGTACTCGGGGTTGTTTGTTTTGAAAGACTGTATACCGGATAACTTGTATTACCATTTTCTTTTGTTGCATGTCGGTATTCGCCTTCTCTCTTGTGAGAAGTCTTGTCAAGTAGAATCTAATGTCGCTAATGAAATGTTAAAAGAATTTGTAAAGTTGTTTAGTAATTTTTACGGCGAACATTTAATCAGTTTTAATGTCCATGGTCTTTTGCATTTAAGTGATTGCGTTAAACAATTTGGTCCTTTAGACAATTTTTCTGCATATAAATTCGAAAATTATATATAAAAAAATTATTAATAATCCAAATAAAATATTGCAGCAATTATTTTTAAGAATAGAAGAACGAAGAGATATTACGGATTCTAGCAAAATTTCACAAATAGATAAGTTTATTATAAATTGTAAAAAAGAAAAAGATAGTTTTTTCTTTAGTAAAAAAACGGGATCCCTAAAAATTGTCAACCAACAAACCCAAACAGACAGTTTTGGCGTTGTAGTTTTAACAAAGGTTGGGGACATTTTTAGGGAGCCCGTGGTGTCCTCATCTGATTTAGGTATTTTTGTAGCTCAAATTATAGATTAAGACATTCAAATTATTAAGAGAGAAGATATAGACCATAAGTATTTTGCTATTCCAGTAGGGAATAAATTTATTTTAATTCCTTGTTACATAACTTATTTTATAATTTTACTTAAAAAGAAATGGAATTCAGTTTTATTATTGATGGAGAGGAGGAGCCGGATATCAGTCAGGCAAATGGTAAGAAGAATCAGTATTCATTATATTAGTGACACTATCCTAATTGAAACGTTCTCATTGTAGCTGGAGTATCTCGCCGTTTCGACGTGTCCCAGCCTTTCCTCGACCGTACGGCCCCCCAACCTGCCGTGGATAATGACTCAGGTATATTAAATAAACAACATACATATATTGATTGTATTTTTAATTTACACTTAAATTTTATGAAATTCAACAGCGCTACAACAAATATTTTCTGCCCTTGGAAGAATGGAGACTCGACAAGAGGAAATATTGAAAAGGCTTTCCGCCGTAGAAAGCGCCCTTGCCGAGAAGGTAGGTGTTTTAAATTTAACTAATGTTTAACTTTGTTGTAAGCTTTATTTCATTTTCAGATGCCCGAGCGTTGTGAGGTTCAAGCGCAGGGTCAACTGCTGCGTGAATGTAAGGTGCTCTCTGTGAAAACCCACCGCAGTGTAAGCCGAATCACCGGTGACTTGGTAAGCGAAGAGCAA